CACCCAGGCGCCCTAGGTTGCAACTTTAAAGAAGCCCTTTATTTTAGACACTTTAGGCCAGTTTCCCACTAAGGGAAGCCATTCCTGAGTGACAAACTGTAGAAAGTGACTCAACGTAAATAAAGTTTTTCTTTAAAATCTTTTTTTTTTTTAATTTTTTTATTTATTTATTTGAGAGAGAGAGAGAGAGAGAAACAGCATGAGAGGGGATAGGGTCAGAGGGAGAAGCAAGCTCCCCGCTGAGCCGGGAGCCCGATGTGGGACTCGATCCCAGGATTCCGGGATCATGACCTGAGCCGAAGGCAGTCGCTTAACCAACTGAGCCACCCAGGCGCCCAATAAAGTTTTTCATTCTAAGGAGACCGCAATCACCTGTGAGAAGACTTAGGAAAAGGGAAGACCCCGAGGCTGCGCGGCTGGGGCAGATCCACGTGGTAGGTGGACAGAGGAGGCGGGGCCCGAGGCGGGGCGGGGCCTGCGGGGCCTGCGGGGCGGGGCCTCTGGCGGGGCGGGGCGCGCCACTGCGCCGGGCGGCGATGGCGGCGGACGGGGACTGGCAGGATTTCTATGAGTTCCAGGAACCGGCCCGGAGCCTCCAGGACGAGGAGAACTGTAACGCGAGCCCCGAGGCCGGCGCAGGGCCGGGCGGGGGAGGCGACGGCTTCCCGGCGCTGGCCTGCAGCTTGGAGGAGAAGCTGAGCCTGTGTTTCCGCCCCTCGGGTCCGGGCGCCGAGCCCCCGAGGGCGGCCGTGCGGCCCATCACCGAGTGCAGCCTCCTGCAGGGGGACGAGTGAGTGCGGGCCCGGCCGGGAGCGGGCGGGAGCCTCCCCTGCCCCTCGCGCGGCCCTCGTCCTGCCCTCTGGCCTTCTGTTTGCTGCCTCGGCGGGACTCCGGCCCCAGGCTCCTCCCCGCGCCCTCCTTCCGCCTCCTCCGACTGGCGAGTCCCCGCCCTCTCTGCGCCTCCGCGGCGCTCCCTGGGGTTTTCGGCCTCTGGGCGCTCAGCGATTTAAATCCCCCAGCTCCCCTGCGCTCCACGCTCCCTCACCCTCCGCCACTGCCCTCCTCCTCCTGCTCCCTAGAAACCGACCCAGGTTGGGTTCAGAGGGGAACCTCCTTCCACGGACCAGGTAGTTAGATATTGAACCTCCTCGGGCACGTGTGTAGCCACTCATTCATTCAACTAGCATTTATTTAAGCGCTAAGTGCCGGAGGCTGCTTCGCGCTGGGAATACCGAGGTGACTGAACACACCCCTCTCACGTAGGGCACAATTTAGGAGGGGGGCTGGATTTGTAAACAAATAATTTGTATGGGTGTAACAAATGCTCTCCTAGACATACGTGCGAAATATAGGAGATTTAAAAGGGTGTGTGGGAGAGCCAGCAAAGGCTTCACAGGGAAAGAAATGTGCAAACTGGATCCTGATGGATGAGTGGGAGTTCGCCTGGCAGATGAAGAAAGGTCTAGCATTGCAGCTCGCCGATGTAGCACGTGCAAAGATACCAACGCTGAAGCAGCATTTATGCCACAGGAATTTATTGGCTCCATCTGAGAGCCCAGGTGGAGTGCATATCTCCACAGAGGCCAAAAACAGAACAAAACAAAACAAAAAACCCACAAAAAACCGAAAGAAAGGCTGTGGTTATTAATAGCAAGGATTTCCTAGTCTGGTGGGACAACGCATGTACGAACAGGTAGTTATTACAGAATCATCTAAGTGCAGTGATAGGACATTCATATGGAATTGTGCGAGCTGGGTAAGGGAGAGGCAGAGTTCCTGGGGGGGGGGCACTTTATTTGACTATCATGAACCCCAGTTATAATTTGGCTACATAAGGGTTATAATTATGTACCAGGGTGTCACCCCCAAAGGAATGGTGAAAGTGAGGGAGCCGAGCATATTGTATAGGTCTGGGGAAAGGAGCCGTGGAGAAGCTGCGGGTACAAGGAGTGAAACACTGTGGCCGTGGGTAGGGGATGGGTTTTTAGAGTCCTGATGGAATGCAGAGGTTCGAGGTTAGGAAAGGATTCTTGCGAGATAGAGAAGGATCCATAGGCATAGAAAGGGCTTTCCAGCCTGATGGTCTCCTTTCCTCTGTGAACAAGGTAGGAAGCTTGAGAAGAGGGATTTGAGAATGAGGGCCATGGCTTAGCAGTGGTTCAGGCCTAGCTATTTTGGGGACCATATTGTCTCATTGGCACCCGTCTGCAGTGTTCTGCCCAGTGTGGAGGAAGAGTTTATGATTGGATTTTGTATACCCATGTATGTAGCTGGTAGCAAAAGATGACATTTTTGAACATCTATTCCGAGAGAAGATAGTCATATATATATATATATATATATATATATATTCAGAGATTTATATACTCTGAATCATTGGGACACAGGACAAATTCTGGATTAAAAAATGATCGTTACAGTGCATTTGGGTTTGGCAAGAGTAACTTCTCAGAATAGATTAGTGGTTTGTACACAAATGTTAAGGTTCCCTATTTTTGCTTTGCCTGTACTATCTAGAAAGTAGTTTATTTTAGTCTTCGCTTAAATCCTAGGTTGATGTAAAACTTAAAAAAATATTTTGTTACTTTTGATAATGGTTTTTAGTAGATGATATGTTGGTAGTAATGCATGATTCTTGATTTGGGAATGCATAACAAATCTCTTTCTCTCTTTTCGGGGGCCAGGGCTGGTCACTGCTCACTGTCCCTTTTCTGTTGCATGCATCTCTCCATTGCTTGGTAGAGTCCATCCCTGCTCCTCTCAGTAGAGAGAGTTGAGAATTCTTTCACTCAGATATTGCATTGGCTTAGGGCACTTTATTTAACTTCTGTGAGCCCCACTTTCAGTTTTGGTTAAGTATGGATTGCACTTATTTGCTATGGTTTTGCTTTAGAAGGGTATCACATGGGATCCAATGTCACAGGACTTTGGCCTCTTTGGAAATAAGCTTTCCTGCTGGTTGTTTATGACTGCTTGTAATACTTTATGATAAAGATAAAGGCAATTCATGTATTGACTGGAGAATTCTAGAAATCTTTCACTTAATTCAGCCCTGTATCCTTCCAACTGTAATTGTTCTGACCTTGGTGGGGCTAGAGGACTGTTAATTGTCCTTCACTTTCTTGGAAGATCAAATTCACCCACAGTCTCTCCTACTGGGTGAAGTATGCCACTCGTCTTCTTCTTCTTCCAGCCTCATTTAAGAAGAAGCAAACAAGCAGTCCCTAAAACCCTGTACTGTCTTCACCTACTAGAATATCCTACTCAATTTCCTAACCAGGGTTAGGTATATAGTCAGTTATTCAGTATCTGAAAGTCTTTTACCCAGGAAGGTGTGGGTCAGAAACTCAGCAAGCTTAGCAGTCAGAGTTGTTGCCTCCAGTTGGAGTGTTTTGGCATTGGAGAAGGTTGTGATTCTAACAGGAGAATAGGAATGAACTATGCATATGGGAGATATGCTGGGTAAACAAGCCAGTTTCCTAGAGCTTTTTGGGTTCACATTTTCATTGAGGCTAATGTGCATTCCAAAGCCAAACATCATTTTGGGATTTTATGTTTTTGGCAGTTATGGTCCCATTGCTTCTTCTCTTTAGCACCAAATCCCAAATTCATTAATTCAAGTATATTGCTTCTTTATTTTTAAGCTTGCAATCTTATTTTTATACCTCCAGTGGTCTTGTTTTTGTCTCTTAGTGGCTTACACATTTGGAAAAAAAAAAACCCACTCAGTTATTTAATGGCTTATTCATGATTAGATATCTGCCATATATTTTAGGTTTTTTTTCTTATAACATCTGTGTATCTCTGCTCATTTAGTAGCTTATATATGTAGTGTTTAATTTACCCCAATTAAATTTCATCTCATTTATATCTCTGAAGTCATTTTTTAATACAATGTCATGTTTTATTATGCTGTTATTACTTGGGTACTAAATCTGAATTTTGGTCATGAAGTTGGAGTTTGCTGTCCTTATCCAGTGTGGCTTGGGACTTTCCTCAAAACAGCTCATTTGAAATAATGCTTAAGAGTAATAGAGCTGGAAGGAATGTCTGTTACTCAAGCCTCGCATTTTATAGAAGGGCAGCTCTTACCTAGAGTGGTTAAGGAACATGGCCAAAGACTCAGTGTTTGAAGAAGAAAGGAAACGAGAGTCTGTGTTTCCTGATATTAGTCAAGCACCCTTTCATTTTACTCTGTTGCTTCTCCAGAATGCTGTTTGACAATAAGGAAGGGTGATTGCATTGGCTATAACCTTTGTGCATTTTATTGTGAACTCCCCTTTCTTTCCTCCTTCATTTTATCTGTCTTAGTGCTTAGCCTATTATATTACAAAATAGATATTAAAGCCCAGTCTCACATTGAGACTGAATTCTTTCTCCAGGAAGGATAACACATTTTGGGTTAGAGAAAGATTATTCACCCTATGAAATGATCAATAAATAAGTGTAAAACCCAGCATATGTACTACCCACGTGGCTCTGGAAACATTACAGAAGCTCCGTGTATTTTAGTTTCCTCCTCTGTGAAATGGGGATAATAATGGCTCTTCATAATTGTTTTTGAGGATTAAATGAGTTAATGTATGTAAATTGCTTAGGACAGTGCCTGGCACCTAGTATTGTGGAAATGTGAGCTGTTGACTTTGAGAGAGTTTTTTATACCACTGCATTTTCCTCAGCACTTCTTGTCAGCCCAATGATCTGATTATTGTTCAGTCTTCTTCAGGGGGCTCTTTGTTGGTATTTTTCTGGAAAACAGGAGGCCTTCCATTGTTTTGCTTTGACATTTTTTGTTCTTTCACAATAGTTTTGGTATTTGTTTAACAAAAGACATGTGGGATGTTAACTTTCATTGATTGTAGTTTTCTTCTTTTCAAGGATTTGGAATGCCCTGACAGATAATTATGGAAACGTAATGCCTGTGGACTGGAAATCATCCCATACCAGGACCTTGCATTTGCTTACACTGAACCTCTCAGAAAAAGGGGTAAGTTAGGAATTGAGCGAATAGTTTCCGAATAACTGATTCTGATAATAGGACTAAAAAATAACCTTTCTATTTAACACAGATTCATTGGGTTGCCTTTTCTTTCCAAGTTTATAGCCATTGGTGTGGCCCTCTCTTGCCATCTTGGCCCTACTGCCGTCAACTTGCTAGAACTTTCCTCCAGTTCTCCCCAAGCACACACTTGCTTGTGTATGTTTAACCAAATCTTCATCACCTGTATATGAACACCAAGGATCAGCTTTTTTTTTTTTTTTTTTTTTTGAACTTAACTAGCACAATTTTGGTGTGCTGAGAAAACTGGGTAATATATTGAGCGTCTGGAAAAACAGCATCGAGTTAACTTTCTGATGAATTTAAGGACGTGCTGGACATGACATGTTTTCTGAAGACTGTGTGTTCCTGTGAGTATTGGAGAACCTTTAAAAGACCTTAGAGTTCTTGGCTACCAACTGTTCGAGGCTGCTGGGGATTCCTTGGGATTGTAAAGTGAAGGTGCCTTGGGTTAGAAGTGTGAGCACAGGTGATGGGACAGTCGGGGTGGGGGTGGGGAGGAAATAGAAGAGGGAACGTCATTGTTTTAAGTGGAAGAGCAGTGTTAGGTTTATCTAAAGGTGACAAGAAACAGCCAAGTTATGTAAGTTTCAGGGGCTGTTTAAGTTCTTTATCATATAACAATGTAAACTCATGCCAGACCTTTTGGTATGCTCCGTGTTTCATTAAGTGTATTTGTGTAATTGAGAGTGTAATGCATTGGGGCTGTCAGTATGTTAAATAGTATTGTTAATGTTTTATGAAAACGATTTTCTCAAATATATGGCTCAGGACAGCGTGCTGCCTATTATTTTCTAGTAAAATACAGAGTTCTGTCTGTATTTCCCAGTATTCAAGTAGATAGAGAAATCTTACTGTATATAATTATTATTACAGTATTATTAACCCCACCAAAGCTATTCTGCTGACTGACCTGGCATACGTTTCGTGAAAAGGAATAAAACAACATATGTTATGCTCTGTCTTCTGTTTATTTAGACCCTAGCTATCATTTTGGGCTTGGTTCAAGTTTCCCTTCCTCTCTGAAGCTTCCTATTACCGTTTTAGCCTTTGCTGATCTCATGGAATTATACAATTTTAGAGTTGGAAGCGACTTTAAAGGACACTTAATCCAGCCTCTCACTTGGGGGGGAATCCCCATCTGCAGCCTCTCTGACAGATGGCCATGTAGCCATGGCCTCAATCCCTGTGTGGCAGGAAAATGCAGCTCTCTTTGTGGGAGTCGGTTACACTGGTGGAGGTGTGAAAATCTTCAAGGACTTATTTGTCCCACAGAATTTAGTCCTGTTGTCTCCGGGGTACTGGTCCCCACAGCACTTTGTCCATGTCTCAAACCATTACTTTGTTCTCTTACTAATCCTATGTTTCAGGGTCTGTCATTAGATTGTAGTTTGCTGGTAGCAAATCTTTTTAGTCTTTTTAGTAACTGCCACTGTGCCTGGCACATAGTGAGTACTAAGACAAATGTTTGTTGAGTGAATGAATGATCTTGTCATTGAGACCCTAAGGTTAGAGAATATGATGGAAAGTTCTTTTTTAAAAAATAGTATTTTCTGTATCATTTAACATAGTGCTAAATCCATGATAGCCAGTCAGTGAGTATGTTTTTTGTCTGACATATTAAAAAATAGCATAGAAGAGATCCTTTCATGGTTTCAAATTGAAGTGCATTAGCAACATGAATGGGACACTGTAATTTAGTTTCATTGAATAAAATGTATATCTTTTATTGTTCTTAGATTGCATCTTGGGAAGTCCCTCCCTTTTTCTGCCTTCTGATTGTTGTTTTCAATGCTAGAGGAATTGGTATAGCCAAGGGTAGTGATTAGTAATGACTTGGAGTTTAGTACTAGTAACTGATCTTAATTATAAAAGCCTTATCTGGAAAACTCAGCAGATTAAAGTGGACAAGTGATCATCCATCTGTCATCTACCTATTGTGACACAACTACCCAGGTGATGAGTAAACTGAAATTAGAACTCTATTCCTCAGGAAGGAGTAACTGCACATTAAGTTCTGAAGAACAAGGAACTGTGTAAGAAGTGACCTTCTCATTCTATTAGCATATTATTACATTTTTTTTTAACCTGAGTTATTTTATTTAGCGTTGCCTATTCTGTGCTCTATTCTTTCCATAACTGAATTGTGTTGAATTTGCCTTTGAAAGCATCCTTTAGGTTATTCCATCTGTAAAATAGAATCTATAGGAACTTTTTCTTTTTTTTTTTTTAAGATTTTATTTATTTTTTGACAGAGCACAAGCAGGGGGAGTGGCAGGGAGAGGGAGAAGCAGGCTCCCCACTGAGCAGGGAGCCTGATGCGGGGCTCGATCCCAGAACTCCGGGATCATGACCTGAATTGAAGGCAGCTGCTTAACCGACTGAGCCACCCAGGCGCCCTTGGAAATTTTTTTCTTGATGAAGGGAGAAAACATTTCTTTTGCATTAGGATGAGAAAAACATTCAGGAAAACCACCATTTGCCACATTTCAGCTTTTAATTTTTCTTTCATTGAGGTTCAAGATGGCACACTCCTAAATTTGATGAGTCTTTCTACAGTAAGGCAACTAGTACATTCCAGATTCTTACATAGGCACATTTTTTCCATTTGAAGCAGCTTTAGTTTCAGACAGGTCAATAGAACCACCGGCTCTTTATCTAACCCGGCACAGGAAGGAGTGATGGGAATGCTTGGCAAAGAGAAGACACACTGGTGCCGAAATGGGAGAGTGAATGATGATACCCATGACAGCCAAGGTTAGTTTTCAAAGCCGAAAGGGATTCCAGCCCTTAACATATGCCATCTCTGTGGGGAATGGACTTGGCTCCAGTCCCTGGAAAGATGATCTGGGGTCATTATTTTTGTTGTTATGGAAATTTATTCTAATTGTTTACTGGTATCACTCATGTGTTTTGGCCATAGCTATAAAAACTATTCTAAATCCAGTGCCATTTTTGAATATGCTCATATAGTAGAAGGCTTGTAAATCATATTGTCTTAGGAACATCTCCTGTGCCGACTCTTTCCTCCTACCATGAGCGTTTTTTCAAGGACAGGGACTTTGTTTTATGCATCTTTTTATCTTTAAGAGCAGAGGCAGGAAGAAGATAATATCTTCCTTAGGAGTCATTTTAAAATGAAAACTTTGATTTGTCTGTAAGGGGGAAAATAAATCTATGGTCCTCAATTATAATGAAGATTGACTTTGGGAAGTGTTGAAATTTAAGGATCTGTGGAGATAATTGCTAGGTCTATCCCCATCATCCATACACCCTTATAACTAGATTTTGGCACTTTTCATCTCCACTTCTATAATCTTGAAGTCAAACATTCTCTCTCACCAAGAGCCTAAGCTCTTGATCTTTCACATTCCTTATTAAAAGGATAACTGCATTGGTTTAAAAAGTACTAGGACTAGTATAGGACTTAGCATGAAAAAGCAGCCTTTCTGCCCTCCTTACCCCATCCTTTCCACTGCTTTCCATTTACCAGAGGCAGCCACTTTCAACTCCTTGAACTGTTTCTTCTGACAGGTAACATGCTCTCATCATTTTACTTAATTTTTCTTTCAACTTTAGACTTTATCCATATGCTTTCCACCCAGAGGGTGAGGTTTAGGTCTCTCTTAGTCCTCCTTCAAACCCTCAACAGCATAACCCTCACGAAAACTTTCCCTTCCCTTGTCTTCCCAAAATAATTATATAAAAATATTTGTTTAAATTAATCTTCATCATTTATATTGACTGTTTAAATGTTCACAGTTGACCCATTTCGTTACATCATGAGTAAATTTCCTCCTGTAATTTTTTTTGTTTTTTTTTCTTAGGGTAATAATCATTGCCTTTTTGTGGTTCATTTAAGCTATCAGTAACTCATAAATTCAGCCTCCACAGAGCCATAAAACTCATTTTAGTAAGTGACATGCACCAGAGAATCTGTTAGTGTCTCTGCCTCTGTTTCTCGGGTACTTTTCTCGAAAAGTTTAGTACTTTTCGTGCAGTAACAGTGGTCATCTGAACTGTTTACTCTCCAGGTGAGCTTCACAGCCATCATTGTGGGATCTTTACTTCACCATCGTTATAAGAATTCCCCCACTTCTTTCCAGTATTAGATCCCAGGCCTGCTTCCTTTCTGGTTTTCCTCCTGGTTTTAATGGAACTTATTCTGCAGTAGCTTTCTGAGAAAGGGTTTATGAGGTTAAGTACTTTGAGATAGGATTCTAGGCTGAAATTTATTGAAACATGGAAAAACATTGATTTTTCTTCTCACCTCTTTTGTTGCTGTAGAGAGTTCAAAAGACATTTTGATTCTTGATCCTTTTAATGTGATGGTTTTTTTCTCCCTGGAAGCTTTTAGATTGTTTTTTTCACAGTGTTCTGAAAGTTCAGAATGATACACTGAAGGCCATGTCCAGGCCTTTCCTAGGCTGATGGCGCGGTGAAGACTAGACTGAGGAGGTGTGTCATCCCTGAGTTACAACATGGATGCATGTTGTGGTAGGAGCCCTGATGTGGCTCCCCTCCCAGCCTGACATTCTGAAAGGCAGCACGCCAGTGGTCCCTTGCCCTTCTCACTCTGTGGGTTGTATTCCGTTACACTTCAGATGCTCCTGCATGAGGAACTAGGGAGGCAGTAGGGACCTACATCCCCTCAATTGTGTCCTCAATTTTACATATATCCTCTGCCCTGGCAAGTAAAATAATTTTTTCAGGTAAAATATTATTCTTTAGATTATATACTACCTCAGAGAAATGCATGGTTGCCCTTTACCTAGCTCCTTGTTGCCCATTTAGTCTTCAGGAACTCCGTGAGTGGTACTCCTTTCTGAAGACAAGAGCTTTAGTTTTAGTTCTGTTCATCATCTGAATCGTCACGTCATGGTAGATAGATGATAGGTAGATGATCACTTGTCCATTTTCATCTGCTGTGTTTTTCAGATACGGCTTTGCAATTAGGATGAGTACTAAATTCTTGGATTATCGGTGTGGGCAGGTTAAGGGACACCAGCTAGGTAGGCATGGTGTGATAACCCAGGGCTGGCAACAAGTAAGCAATAGCACCCCTGGGCACGAAGAGGTAAGGAGAGGAAGAAGTTACCAGAACCTAGACAGAGTAACTGTGGGGGAGAGGTCTGCTTGACAAGATCTGCTGCTTTTTGGTAGTCTGGCGGGGAGGGAGACAGTGGAATGACTGCCCGGCTCTCACCCTCCCACCTTCCAGTGTCCTGCTAGTGTCTGCCAGTGGTTTTTAACCCAACTGGAAGCCAGAAGTCAAGGGCATCCTTTGATTTAGTCCATAAAGTTGAGCCTCCTGAGGCCCAGAGCAGGGTGGAAAATGGCAGTGAGGCAAATGGAAACCTCCAGCACAGTTAGGTTGAAAGATGTTCTTGGAACCTGCAGAGATTTTATTTTTGGAAGAAGAGATGTTCACCTGTAAGGCAAAGTATTACTCTCGTGGACAGTGCCAGGGAGTCGAATCCTAAGCTTTTATCCTGAATATTAGAAGTTAGTTTGGAGTAACTAACTTTATATTATCTGTGGAATTTAACATATACCAATCTTACTATTAGATTGTGAACTAAATAACATTTGCTGCTAAACCCGCCCATTACCTCCCTCCCCCGTCTCCTATAATTCCTTATGACTTTCTAACCAATACTATATATGACACTCTTCCCCAGGGAAAAGCAGCTAAGTGTGTGTCGGTATTGGGCATTAGGGGATGCGTGCGGCACCTCAGCAATTTCCTATTTATTTTCCATTCCCCCCCGCCCTTGTGTTTGAGATGAATATGTAAAGCCCTTCACACACTGCCGGGCACGGAGTGATCGTAATCATTTCTCCCTTCCGAGGGAAGACTCTTCTTTACCCAGACACTGTGACTTCGTTGTGATCAGAATGTCCTGCTTTTAACAGTGGGTTATTTTGCTTTTAGATAAGTGACAGTTTGCTCTTTGATACATCAGACGATGAGGAGCTGAGAGAACAGCTGGATATGCATTCAATCATCGTCTCCTGCGTTAATGAAGAGCCCCTCTTCACTGCGGATCAGGTATAGAGGAGACATTGGTCCAGGAAAGAAAAAGGGAACTTCGAGCTGAAACACAGTTTCTTTTTTTTTTTTTTTAAAGATTTTATTTATTTGAGAGAGAGAGAGCACACAAGCAGGGGGAAGGGCTTTTTTTTTTTTTTAAAGATTTTATTTATTTATAGCAAAGAAATTTTAACATCTCTGGAAATAAAACCTTGGAGGGAGAAGAATAAAAAAGAAGGACCTGAGAAAATACAACTCCAAAGAAGTAGGGCACTTCAATTTTAATGCTCATTCTTGTAGCACCCTCATCTTTGCAAATTTTGGGGGACTCTGGTTGATTTTGTGGAATATTTCTGGATGCTGTTTCCCTTGTCCTAACACTCTCAAGACTATGGAAAATTTGGGACCAATACCCTTATAAGAAATTTATATTAATAAGTATACCAGAAAATAGAATGTAATGCATATGGGCAACATTAAATATGTAACAGGTGATCCAGGGATCAGACAAAAAGTAAAATCACTTACAGAACCAGTTTATCTCATCCAAATGTGACCCAAGCCACCTGGTTTCTCTTTGCAAACTCCCCTGAATTGTCTGCGTCTATTCCTTTCTATAGACTGGTGGAACCTCTTGATGCCACCTGGTCTCCTGAATGCACGCTGTCGGTCTTCCCTGGTGTCACCTTCTGACAGTGTGTCATTGTGCTCAACAGAGCTTTCTTAACTTTTATTTTTTCATTCATTTTCCTCCCAATTCAATAGGAAGTGGACTTAGTGTTCTTGAAGGTTGGCACCTTTTTCTCTTTCCTTCACATTTTTTCCTGTGTGGGCCAGAGAGATTTCCCATCTCCACTGAATTTCTTCTCCTCAGAAGGAGTCCCTCCGACTTAAGTCTTCAAATTAACAGTCTATTTTATTAATCTTGGATTACTTTGAAGTGAAGTTAACTGACATAATTGCATAAAATCCAGTTTCAATCAAACGGTAAGGTGGAAGAGATGATCAATAAGTTAGCAATTATTCAATAATTACCGTGGACAATGCATGAACTAATTTTAAATGTCTGATTTGGATCCACTTTTAAGGAGATGAGATGTTAAATAAACAAGGCACATCTGTACAGGGCAGTTCTAACAAGTGATTTAATAAAGCCACGCCTTTTTAGAAAAAAATTGTGGTTAAATACACATAGCATAAAAATGAGCATTTTAACAGATTTTAAGTATACTGTGGCATTAAGTACATTCATGTGCAACTATCACCACCATCCAAGTCCAGAATTTTTTACCATCCCAAAATGAAACTCTGTACCCATGAAACACTAACTCCTCATTTCCCCCTCCCCCAGCCCCTGGCAACTCCATTCTACTTTTTGTCTCTGATTTTGACTACCTCATATAAGTGGAATTATACTGCATCTGTCCTTTCGTCTCTGGCTTCACTTAGCATAATGTTTACAAAGTTCATCCCAGTTTGTTGGTTTGCAACACTCTTGGGAGCTTCCCTGATGTAATCTGAAATCAGCCTCCTTAAGGGGAGGGCAGGGAAAGAGCTAAGAAAGAGGGGGCCACTCCAAGTTGGTAGACAGCAGTTTTAATAAGCAAAGGGAACTTACATACATAGGAGGCTTGCCTTTGGTGACAGCAAGACAAATAGATCCCCACACCCACCTGCCAAATCTTAAAAGTTTATTAAGAGGCCCTAACTGGGTTCATTCATGGTATACTCTGCCAGTTTCTCAACATACCATCTGAAGGCTATGTCCCTGGAGCAGCCTCTGGGAGAAGGAAAGGCAAGTGGAACTCCCATTCCAAGGAGAGGGGCGGGGGTGAAGAGACTTCCAGTGCCTGGGTCGAGCTCAGGGGTCAACTGGCAGTTACATCTTTTCAGTTACCTTCCCCAACGCTGTTCCAAGTGCTTTGCAAATATTAATTTACATAATTATTCATCTTTGTATGTTCCCCAGGGTCTAGAAGGTGCTTTGCGTGTATTAGATATAAAATATTTGTGGAACGAATTTCGGTAGGACTTAAGCATTTCCAAGTGATTCTGCTTGCTCTTCTGGTTGCAAAGTTACAAAAGGATCCGGTTTCTCCCAGGGGGCATAATTTGACACTAGGTTGCAACTTTTTTTTTTTTTAAGATTTTATTTATTTATTTAACAGAGAGATAGCGAGAGCAGGAACACAAGCAGGGGGAGTGGGAGAGGGAGAAGCAGGCTTCC